TCTTCTTGAAGGCTCCCAGGTCGAAACGGTTCGTAGGCCGCCGGCGCCAGTTGGTTCCACGGATTGTTTGAAATATTATTGAGACGAAATATGCTTAAGGAAATTATCAGGAAAATCTAGGATCGTGTCTTAAATCAAATGCTTGTTTTCATTGTTAAAAACGTTATCTTTAACGTTTTTGGAAATTGTAAAAAATTAAAAAAAGTGTGTGTACTTTGTAATCACGTAAGAAGTTATACTTATTATCGTAAAGACATTAAATGCAATTACACAGTTGCTTCGAAACCGACTTCATGTCCCTATTTGAGGGTCGGTGTGCGCGCGCATCGTAAAAATTTTACTCTCATATATTTTTCCAAACGCACGAAAAGAAGTATACCTTCAAAAGGAACTAGAGATTATGAAAGTACTGAACAGAAGCTCTTAGCGATTATAATTACCCCATAGTCGAACCCACCGTCGGGGGTCCCGCCGGATAACAATACACATACAGTTAGTGTAGCAACAAACACATTAGTTCGCCGGCCTCCGAGCACGGTGAGACCAACACAACGTGTACACAAGGTACACCCGCTTTCAAGGGCGTTTCTCACCGCCCCCAGCCACCCGTTAGCCAAAAACACAGTCGACGGCCATCGGGGTCTCAGTCCGCACCGCTACTTCGATGGCCCTTAGATGACATGCCGTAGTTAAACGCACGCATGAGCACATGCGCGGCCCTACCCACAGTGGAGGGCCCAAACCCGTGGGTTCTGGCTAGCCCACCGGTTCTGCGTCAGATGAAGCTTTAATAGTCTCTGGACTGAAAGCACAAACATCAGTTAATACCCTGCATGAAAGCATTGATTTATATCATTTTCGAATAACAATAACAGTGATTAATATTTATTCGCATAAGCATGGTACATACATACATAATAATATTATAATATAATAGTATAATAGTGGTGGTAATTACAATAGTCACATGTTTGCCAGATGCGGCATGCGAAAACTAATGTTTTTATAAACCACAAGAACAGAAATTAATATGAGAGACAAAAATTTCTCTAGAAATCAAAATGTTCTATTTCCATCGACATTATAGTTACTTTTTTTTTTTTAATTTTAAAAAAATAAAATTTTTAAAACTAAGAGAATTAAACAAGCAATTGTGGCAATATAACACTAAAAAATAAAGTTTAACTCCTGTAAAAATCAGGATAATAATATAATAATAATTAGGAACGTCAAATTCGATTTTTTTTTATTCAATATAATTTATTTTTTAGATATTGCTCTCTAATGCACTTGCTTACTGATTGTGAAAATACTACTATTTGTTGAAAAGTAGTCCCACTAAGAAAAAAATAAAAACAATAAAACAATTTTATTATAATATTCATTGATGTCATGAGACAATGTGTGAGCAGCAAAGCTTTGAACTTGAATTAAATTTGTTTAGATTATTCTAATTTTTTAATGTTTTGGGAAGTTTATTGAATATATTCACTTGCAGTTGTTTCATCAATAGCTACTATTATCTTGAATCCATATTATTTTTATTATCACTCGTGCTAATAGAAATATCAATTGTGTTATGGAATTTATTTACATTTCAATGTGTATTGTCAGTAACAATTGTATGACTAAAAGAACATATCTACACGTAACCATTGTTTCATTATTTCGTCATCAAACAAAATAATAACTTACATTGGAAGGGAAGGCAAATTCTCGAAATCAATTTTAATACCTTGTACAATTGGCATCTAATCGGTGCCTGCAAATGTACTAACATTACATTTTTTTTTTTTTCAATTTAATGTCAATCATTATTAAGGAAATGATAACATGCAAATAGTTCCATAGAGGAAATCGTATAATACACGGTGTCCTCAAATAGTTTTTGAATTAAAAAAAAGTTGGAAGAGAATAAATGTAATATTAGTACAACATTTTACAACATTTATAGAATTATTTCCTAGTCAGTATTAAAATTCTGGATTAGAAATAGCAATGAGCAAATTTATGAGCTGTATCATATTTCAAGAAAAGAGATAAATTAGGAGAAGAATAAGTTGTTAAAAGCAGTAAAACATATATTTTTTTAAAAGTAAAGCATCGCCTACGTTTATTTCGGTAATTGTCCGACGTGCTGTTCAATTTATTTCCTGCCAAGGATGGACGTCACTTGTACGTTACGTGCGATGTGCAGTTTCAGTGATCCATTTGTCTGCGCCGTCGAGACACAAATTGGAATCATTGAGGATTTATCTCACTTCATTTCAGCCTTTATCTCCGCGGTGTGCGCTAGTTTTTCAAGGCAGTTGCTATTTAGCTTGTTTCAGTCCATTTTATTCAATGCGCTATTTTTTCTTTTTATTTTCAGCATCACTTTGTTCATTCCCCTCTGGATGCAAATTTAAAGTTGAGAAACTAGATCCAAATAGATTTGATTGATTTACATGGATGTGGGCATTCCCAATAAATACGGTCTACGTTACAAAGAAATACATTGAATTATACTAGTTTGGAGGTATTTTTATTTTTAATTTGAAACGCTTATAATTTTCATAAAAGCAGTTTATAACAATGGAAGTTCATTTTCAGGATATAATTCTTATTTTGCTGCTTAAAGCTTATCTCTCTAAGAATCAATAATCATATAAGAATAAGAATCAAAAATAGAAGGAATAATCGTATGTATGGACGGACTAATATTCAAAACGATAAATCCGAACAAAACCGCTTGTTAGTAATTTAAAATAAATACTCATTCCATATATGAGCTGTTCTGTTGTAAGTATTAATCGTGAAGAGAATATTGCTTTTAAAAAGTGACAGGGGAATCTTTGAAAGACATTATTCGGTCATATTTGTTCAAACTTAGAAATAAGTAGAAAGAGCTCGGTCCTGACGTTAGAATACCCACCAATGCCTACTTTTATCAGGCATATCGTACATAGCCCATTAAACGGACTGCAAGACATGGGCCGATACAAAAGATATATCGAATACGATAGGTAGCAAGGATTGTGCAATAAATTTAGCGGTCACCTCGCCAGCTGTCTTTGCTTAGTCGTGTTGTGGTTGCAATTCCTGCACGGGTCATAAGTTTGTATAATCCACAAATGGTTGTTCTGAATCTGAGTGCACATGCAATGTCTCGTCTATTTTGCACTAGCTGCTGCCCGCGACTACGTCTGCGTAGAATAGGCTGAAGGTGTAACATTAAGACAGTAAGACAGATATACATAAAATATGTATATAAATTATAGCCTATGTCTTATTCTGATGTATAAGCTATATTATTGTAAAGTTTCGCTAAAATTCATTCAGTAGTATTTGCGTGAAAGGGTAACAAACATCCATCCATATATACAAACTTTTGCCTTTATAATATTAGTAAGGATTTACGAACTCCCAAAAACGAGGCAGGCAGGTCATTGCAAGAAAATGACCTTTTAAGCTATTATCCTCTGAGATGACCGTAACGTAGCTGAAGTAATATTAAAACGGTCAAATTCATATTTCCTTTGGATTTTTAGGGTACTGGGAATGAAATTTTACATTTTTATTTTTCATTACAATTTTACTTTTTAATTCCAAAGAACGAGGAAAGAATGTCATAAAAATGAAGAAGGTTTGCGTACTTAATTATTTTTGGGGTTCCGTACCAAAAATAGTAAAACGAGACCCTATTACTAAGACTCTGCTGTTTATTTGTCCATCCGTCTGTCCGTCTGACACCAGGCTGTATCTCGTGAACCGTGATAGTTAGACAGTAGAAATTTTTAGAGATAATTTATTTCTGTTGCCGCTATAACAACAAGTACTAAGAAAAATATTTAACTGGTTATTTGTACATAACTGTCTCCAAGTTTGTGCCAGATTTAAAATTAGAAGTGTCATAATCTACATATTATGTCAATTGTAGCTTTAGTGGTAGGCAAAGTTGTTTCGATCTACGAGTATTTCTCGCGTAGTTTTATGCCTACCCTCATAGGGATAAGATCTTAATTCTATGTATTTACTACACTACTACTGGCATGTTTTATTTATATCAAATTTATATCTAAGTGGATTAACTTCTGTCATTTTTTTTCAGGTTTTTGACCCTGTTGAAAGTAGCGAAGAGCAAACTGATATGATAAAAGTATAACTCGTATTACATGTGGCGTACCAAAGTTATGGGTAGGTTTAATTCATATAATGAACAAAAGTTTATAAAGCGGCGAAATAACTTTATATTATCGACATCACGACGACTCCATACGCTTTTCGAGCCTTGCTTGCGTTTCGGATTTAATAGAAAGATAATTCGAAAAATATAATTATTAAAAAACATTATATTTAAGTTTTAAGATTCCGTGGCCAAAAGTTAAAACGGAACCCTATTACTAAGACTCAGCTGTCTGTCTGTCTGTCTCTCACCAGGCTGTAATCTCATGAACTGTGACAACAGATGATGTATTTCTGTTGCCGCTATAACAACAAATACTAAAAAGACAGAATAAAAGATATTCAAGTGGGGCTCCCCTTCAACAGACATGATTTGTTTGCCGTTTTTGTACGGAACCCTTCGTGCGCGATTCCGACTCGCGCTTGGCCAGTTTTTAAATATTTATCCCTACCAACTTTCTTGAGTAAGAAATGTTACAACAAGGCACTGCTACTTTTTCGCTAACGATATAGTACGTCAAGAATATGGTAGTTTGAGTATAAACAGAAACGAAAAGCGAGTGGTAAATAGCGCGTCAGTAATTGTATTAATTCATTTACGACTGTGAAATACTGGTTTAGCAAGTTTGGTGAGAACGCGTTAACTTGAATAAGCGTACAACGTCATCGTCCGCTTGTCGAGTTCTACTCTGTGCTGAGGCGTGACTTGATGAATGCAAACGCAGTACACTCTCAAAACTTGCGCTGCGCGGTCGCAGCCGGTAAAAGTTCCACATTTGAATATTCATTCCAGTTTTTTTTTTTGTCAAGTTCGTAGTGTCCGAAGGATTTTCACTATGACCGTAGTGCCCTACGACACGTGAGTAGGATTCTTTGATATTCTACAATATTTAATTCGAAATTAACGTTAGCGCGATTATTAATGGGCTTCGTAACTGCGCACGGGTATCGCATTTCGTTTGCTCAGTGCATACCGATTGGAAATAGGTATCTCTGCAATTTCATCACGGGTGGGAACGTGGTCCGATGCCATACGAAGTCGAGTACAATAATTATGTTCCTGGTTCCTAGTTGTCCTTGCTGATAGTTCACTTTAGTTGTTTTTTTTTTTTAATTAAGGCAGCAATATATACCATTTAACAATAAGACAGTATGGTTGTCCGCAGCAATAGTAAAAATTACAGAAAATTAAAACATGACGAGTTTCGAAACCATGTGTAGTAAAAAAATTCAAGTGACTACAAATAATATGTTTTTAGAACAGAAGTTTAGTTAAAATTTACTTTAGGTAGTGTACACGTAATTTTTTGATTTATTTTTTGAAATCCGCCAAACGTAAAATCCTGCATAATTTTTCTTACATCGCTTGCTCAAGGCCGGAAATCGGTGATAAATACTGCAAATTGATTTTTGGAAAGAGATTATCGGCTAAATTCAGTTTCTTAAAAGTCAAAATTAAAATTTATTTAATTAATATGGGCTTAATTTAAGCCCTTATTGAACGTCAAAGGAAAACCTACCATCGGTTCACTAAACAAAGCCCGATTTTGGTGAAATTTTGTATGCATATCGGCCAGGGTGGGGAATCGGAAAACATCTAGTTTTCATCCCCGTAATTGCCGGGTCAGCTAGTAAAGTATAAAATTAGTCAGCAGCCAGTGGACTTGCAAGTGCGGAGCAAGAGACATATCTCTGTCGGTATATTCACTTCCATATTATCATTTTGCTTCCACGTATAATGTACACATATTTTAACTAAACGATGTATATGGAGATTATTTGAACGCAAAATGAATTTTAACAAGTACCCACAATATTTTGATTTATTAATTCAAAGTCACTAATTTACATTTTGTTTTATGTACGTTCTACAAAAGATCAGAGAAATTATACGTTGAAGTAATTATCTCCGTAATATTCCGTATCGTTTCATTCCGTATACAAATACATAAGTATCTTAGTATTATATATTTTTTTTATATTTTAAGTCTAGCGATATTTTACTGAAGCAATCTGCCATGACTTCAGCACGAAAATATGATATGTTTAGAAATTTTGATTTTTTTTTCATCTAAATTATTTACGTACATGGCAACTACATTTCCCTATCGTTTTAAATATTTAAAATGAATCTATTCACTATTATAGACATTTAAAAATTGATTAAAGAATTAAAGAAAAGTTGTCAGAGTGAAAGTCAATCTATAGATATATATATAGTACCCAGAGGGCCGAGCTTTGCTCGGTTTGTTTTTTTTTTTTTGGTAAATCGTGTGTTTTAGAAATTACATTTAGATACAAAGTACTGAGTAATATTTTTCGATCTTACCGACGTAATAATAAGAAAATATGAACTGATGTTTTTCACAAAAGAAAGAACTTTAAAAAAAAGGGAAAAAAAAATAACAAAATAACAAATCGACAAAAAATTAAAAATAAAGAAAGCAATGATCTGGAATCGAAAAAAAAGTAAAAAAATAAATGTGTAAATGATCGTGACGCGAACCACGGCCGTCTGTTTTGGGGCCGCCAGATTACCGACCGAGCTATTTTGACATTTTCTCTTGCGGCGAAATTTACCGTCATATTCGAATTATATTTTTCATTCATTCATAACAGGACTTTTTCTAAAAATGAAACCTAGTCAGATCGATTTTTCACCCCCGAATCTACGCACAAACTAAATTTCATGAAAATTGCTGGGTACGTTTCCGAGATTCCGATTATATATATATATATATATATATATATATATATATATATATATATATATATATATATACTTTAATGAAGGTGCTTCTTATTTTTTCAATAACCATCGGGTGTAGTAGATGACCATGGGCGGCAATATTCACTTAACATCTGGTGAACCGTCTGCTCGTTTGGCAACTTTTCACATAAAAAAATATCTTTTGATGTAATTTTGAGTTTGATGTGTGATCTCGCATAAAAGCGTGAAGGGGTAGATGATGATGATGTTAATAAAAAACACTCAATACATCATAATTAAGTTGATATGCCCTTGGCTTTGGCTTCACTGGTCGTGGGTTCTATACCTACGTAGGTCAAGTATACAGGCAGGCGGCCGATCGTAAAAACCTAGCCATTACAATCAATAACATGATTAATATGTTTTGCCGATTTCACCTAGGTGGGCTCTCTTCTTTCTCCAGCCCTTAAGGCAGGAGAAAGATGAAGAGTATATCATATTTAAAACAATGTAGTTATAGCCTAGGGGCTGGGATGCCAAACTTCCCATCCTACGATTGAGTTCAAATGCCAAAAGGTGAACATTCCAGTTCCAGCTGTTGCTATTTATTTCATATTATTTCGTATAGTTATTGAATCACTCGTCAGTTTTGAGGCTTAAATAAACACCATATAAAATCAGAAAAGTTAAATTAATTTGCCCCTGTGTATGACCATGACCATTGCGGTCAAAAGTGGCGACTAATTGTATGAAATGTGTGAATACTCACTGGCATGATTCATTTGAAATTTTTTTCCGTCCGATAGGTACGCCAGCAATGCTGGACGAAGAGAAGGCCGAATGCCTGGCTGACAGCCTAGAGTCTCAATGCTCCCCCAGTCTGCTTCCGATCGACCCCGAACACCTCCGCAAGGTGAACGAAGAGGTAGAGAGGAAAGCTTTAGAGCCACTCCGCGATCCCGTTCCCCCGGTCACGTGCCTAGAACTAGTAGAGACTATCAAAAAACTACGCCCCCGTAAAGCACCAGGCTCAGATGGAATCACCAATAAGGTGACCAAGCTCCTCCCTACTAGCATCCTTCAGATACTAGTATTAATTTACAACGCGGCTTTAACCGAAGGCTTCTTCCAATCCGAGTGGAAGGAAGCCGATGTCATAGGGTTCCTCAAACCCTCTAAACCCACCACTCTCCCAACCTCATATCGTCCAATAAGTCTTCTCAAAACATTTGGGAAGATCTTTGAAAGACTAATATTAGCCCGCTTAAGATCCCTTATGGACACCAAAGGGCTCCCCATCCCAGAGCAGTTTGGATTCAGAGCCAAACACTCATGTACCCACCAAGTGCACCGCATCACGGAGCACATTTTAACCAAACGCCAACGTGGACTCAACACCGGTGCACTCTTCCTGGACGTGGCAAAAGCGTTCGACAAAGTCTGGCACAACGGGCTCGTATACAAGCTATACGGGTACGGAGTGCCTGACCGTCTCGTATGCATAATACGAGACTTCCTGAGTAATCGAACCTTTCGCTATCGCGTCGAGGGCGTGTGTTCGACTACGCATCCCGTGCGAGCCGGGGTGCCCCAAGGGTTGGTGTTGGGCCCAGTCTTGTTCACTTTCTACACCAATGACATGCCGCGTGTCAATGATGTAGAACTTGCTCTTTTTGCCGACGACACCTGTATCTACACCACAGGCAGAACACCCGAATTGATCCATCGACGCCTCCAAGCTGCGGCCATCACCATCGGTGACTGGTTTCGGCAATGGAGGATCGAGATCAATCCCGCCAAAAGCGCGGCCATCCTTTTCGCGCGCAAAATGAACATACCCATAACACCCCCCGTTAAACTCTTGGACAGCCCAGTACCATGGGTTAATAAAGTCAAATATCTAGGCGTCGTCCTCGACTCTCAGCTCAAATTCACCCAGCACGTGACCCAGGTCAGGAACCGGGGGGCCTTCGTACTCGGTCGCCTCTACCCGCTCCTCAATAAAACGTCAAAAATGTCCCCTCGGAACAAGGTGACCTTATATAAGGCAGTAGTTCGCCCTATCATGACGTACGCGAGCCCCGTCTTCGCTCACATTGCTCCGAAGCAAATACACCGGCTTCAGGTGATTCAAAATCGATTCTTACGCAGAGCCACGGGAGCACCCTTGTTCATGCGCAATATCGACCTACATGTCGATCTAGAATTGCCCACCATCGCGCAATTCCCGAAGTCGGCGTCGCGCCGATATTTCGATTCCGCCGCCGCGCATCCCAACCCACTTATCGTAGGTGCCGTCACCTACAGGCCCTTGCCGCTAAATATTTTCCGCCGCGATTACCGAAGACCGCGTCACGTTCTCGACTTCCCTGACGATGAGACGACTATCGCCATCGAAAGGATCAAAAAACTCAAGAAACACACCAACACACACCGCACTCGCCGGCGAGTGCGGCAAACATATACTAGGTTCCGCCACGTACCTGGCAGGTTTTCCCCTATTAATGATAGAAGCGTTGCTGGAGTTTCTTCCGCCACTTCTTCTCCCAGCGCCAACGCTCTCCGAAGTGGTAGTAATGTTAGCTCTAGTAATTCCCCCAGTCAGATAATAGCTACCGATCGAGCCGAGGTCCGGCCCTCTCGGGCACCCTCGAATCGGAATGCTAAACGCGTATTGAGTGACAGCCCAAGCCGAGGTCCCCTCTCGGGGACCCTTGAGCCTGATCACTCCATGGAGCGCCCGCCAAAGCGCCCACCAAAGCGCCCTAAGTGCTTGGCGGCCTCCCAAACCGGTAATAATAATAGCGTGACGGCCCGAGCCGAGGCTCCCCCGGGAGCCCTCGAGCTTAGTCACCATAACGCGTAATAATAGTACGCCGAGGTTCAGGCTAGGCGCCTCGTGCGCCAGGCCACCTCAAGTCCGTAGGATCTGTGAAGGCCCCTAAGGCCAACAGTGGCTTATCCAGCCCAAAAAAAAAAAATGAGGTATGCAAGTGAGTATTGATATTGGTATGTTGTCAGATGTTAAATGATTAGCGCCACCCGTGGACATCAACAATGACTGAAAAGTTGCAGATGCGTTGTTGATTTTTAAAAAAGTGGGCCCTTCTTACACGTTAGCCGTGGTACTTATCCTGACGTGTCTGCCATTTGAGCAACAGCTGAAGCTGCTTGGCCCTAATACAGATAAAAAATAAGCAGACAGCGTGGGAAATGGTCTAACTGATCCCTTAATGTTTAGTTTTAATTTTTTATTTCTTTGTACATGAAATTATTTTTATCGTTTTCTGATTTACTTTGAAAGTTTTATTTTGGAACAAAATATCGTTATTAGTTCATTAAAATAACTATAAGTGTGTAATAAAATTGCAATGTAGGAAAGCAGATTAATGTAACTTACATGATAATAGAAAAATATATAATTATGTTTATGAATTCGTTGAAACGTCACTGTTAACGTAATATACGTGCAGTATTGATCGTAAGCGTTGCATAACATAAATTGCTGCATTTTAACGATGTAACATTCTTTGCAATAAGGAGAAGTCGGAATGAATATATTGAAAATCGTATCAAAATAATTATGTAATATTTACTTAGAGCGTGATAAGATAGCTTTTCAACATATCGAAGTAAAAAATTATATGTTGTCTATTCAGTAAATATTTTTTTATACATATGAACCCTGTGCCACCCTTTTAATTTTTAGAGAAACTATTATACCGCATAGTAAATCAAAACCTATAATTTAGGTTGCGTTCAACAAATTTTACAGTACAATTTCCATGAAATGAAAGATCCAATAATCGATTGTATTCATCAAGTTATTTTAGGTTCGATTCTAGCATTTGTTTCCTAAATATTGATATTTGGTGACAGGGTTACTGTATACACAGTAGAGAAATCGATAACAAGCATAAAAATTGTGACTTAGTAACTAATTGTTTAACGAGAGCTATAGGATTTTCTTTTATATGGTATGCGATACAAAATCCAACTATTCTATGAGTAATCAACAAAAGATGAAGAAATAAATAAAACAATCTAGAAAATAATCTGAGTTTGAGAAAGTTCCCGCAAACTTTTTATTAATAGGAAATATTTTTTTTTGTACATGTGCAATCTGCACTTACAATGTTTTCATTCATAGCCGAGTACGTGGCATATCAGCAGTATGCAATAAAGTTTGGAACTCTATTTGCCCAATAATAAAATAAATGCGAGTGACCGAACTGGTAGTCTACCAGGTCCAATCTCAATTAGGGTGATGTTAAATGTCTTGTTAAAAATTATGTCCTTGTTCCACAGCATATCTACCACCTCTCAACCGGAATCGGTTTTTACAAAATGTTGCTGCTGCATCCCTCTAAGAATCGGATGTTTCATCTTGGGCTATCTTAATCTGGTAAGTTGTTATTTATTAAGTGCTTAAGTATACCACTTTAAAGCTATTTTTAGTTGATCCATCTTTGGTCGCTTTGGTTGCGCCCGTACACAAAGCGTCTTTGGGCGGAGCTTGTGACAAATGACAATGTAAAACGAAACCCTATTACTAGACTCCGCTGTCTGTCTGTCTGTCTATCATCAGCCTGTATCTCATTCTTCATGATAGTTAGACTGTTGAAATTTTCACAGACGATGTATTTTTACAATACTAAAATACAGAACAAAAAATATTTAAGTGGGGCTCCTATTTTTTATGTGAAAAGTTGCCACGTGAACCAGGTGGTTCACCTGATGTTAAGTGAATATTGCCGTCCATGGACATACATCCGAGGGCTGCAGATGCGTTAACACCTTTAGAAAATTGGGCTCCAGCTACCTCATTCACCAGACAAAACGCGAAAGTATTTATTCCACTTCACGCCGGTCTTCTGTGAGGTCGTGCTACTTACCAGGGACGAGCTTGCCCATACGTGCGACAGCCAAGGCTGCTGCGTGGCCCTACCACAGTCCCATAAAACAAACATATTTTTTTGCCGTTTTAATAGATAATTGTACGGAACCCCTCGTGCGCGTGTCCGACTCGCACTTTGCCGGTTTTAAAAATAACGTTTTCTAAAGTATAGATTGTTCACCGCATTAACGTTACAGTAATAACCAATTACGATTCATTATCTACCCGTGTAACATCGGGTAAACGCCAGCTTATATCAATTTATGTGTACCTCAAAGCAAGCTGAAGAAAAAACTCTGTATTAAAACATTAATCACTTTGGACGGTTTAGCCTTGATGTTGTGTTGAATGAATAGAAAGTAAAAATGTAAATGCTTTGCTTTACTTACAATTCTCGCGGAGGATACAAAAGAGGCTTTTGGGATACCGTATTCATGATTCTAGTGAACAAATGAATGCAATATTACTTTCTGTTATACAAAAACACTTTTTTAGCTCATATGAGAAATCTAACGACACGGCTTCATAAATGGTTTAGGTTTTTTGTTGGTTGTAGTCAAGTGTCAAAATTTTTGACCTACTTCACTCACCAGACGAAACACAGAAATATGACACTACCACTTCACGCTGGACTTCTGTGAGGTTGTGTTACTTGGCAGAATGGACCTGCCCATTCGTACAACCGCCGAAACCGGCATTGGCCTACCACAGTTAATTATGATGATGTTTTTTCGTTTCCAAAATTTGCAGATCTTCAATTCGGTCCACACCCTCGCTCTTTTCACGCTCACCACGTACATCGGACTTTCCACGCATTGGTTTGACCACTTCGACTTGGAGAGCCCCCGCACCATCAAAGGCCAGTCAACAGAGATCGAATTGATCGAGAGACCTCTGTTGATCCACGTTGAAGTTATGCTAATGGTAGTTCTGTGTGCGAACGTTGCTTGGTTAATTATCACCGTGATATGCTTGGTCGGTTTACACAAGGTGCGTATGAAATCGATCTTGGTCATCGAAAAAACTTTTTATGTCACTGTGAGCCTCGTTATCAGGCGCTGAAAGCGAAAGCCTTTTCTATTCTGGAAGGCTCGCGAATCCATAGAGAAGTTGCAGCGTGTAAAAAGATATTGCTAATGAGATGGAAGTACGCTTTCTTAATCATTAAAAAAGTCACGTCTATTTGTAATCTACTTAATCCTGAAGACTTGCTAGCTGAGTATGTGTTTAACTAACATATGTTTTTCTCGATATCTATGACTATAAAGTAGATCATTAATGCCCACGATAGGATAAAGGTTAACAACCAAAGGCATATTCCGTTTTATTTATAACCCCAGCCAAATAGCTAGATATCTTCTACTATGTTCTTAGTGTATACTTATTAATAACTGGAAAACAATAAAATCTTTAAAAAGTTAAAATAATTAATCATACATACAATAAAATCTCGCACGAATATTTTTAAATCGTTTAATAAGACAAAGCTTATTATTAACTAATGAATGAGAAGTAATTCGGTCAGTGTCAAGTTCAGGTTCATTTATTTCCTGATAAAAACTTATAATCATAAATAACTTTAGAATTTTTTTTGCAGAAACGTCCAGGGCCCATCAAGGTGTACATAACTTTTGCAATGGCAAGGCTAATTCTGATGTTCTCCGGCCTCGTGTACCTCGTATTTACAGGCAGCACTAGCACACAATCGGTAGTTTCCTACTCTGTTGATCTAGGTGAGAGATTAATACTAATACTATAATTTTGTTTGTGCATGGGATATTTATCTATGAATTTTTATTTGTTAGTTTTTTGACGTGTAAATAAGTACGTATGCAGTGAACTAGCATGGAGCTAGCGAAAACGTTGTTCTTTGGTGAAATTTACGAAGATTTACATTTCTCCTTTTACTGACAAGTAAATATCTAATTATGGTAAAATATTTTTGCAAGGTACGAGTTGCGGATTTGGAGTAATTGAACGAACTCTGGACATTGCGTTTGTCTTCCCACTTTCACCCTGTTCTCACTCTTACTTTTCACCTTCTTCTTCTTCTTTTCACTTTGAATCATCACTTCATAGACCAAGACCGAATATATGACCGTTAATAATGTTCCGGCATAAGGACGTTTAATTTCTTGAACGAGAATAGTTATGCCTTTCAAAACTATCACGACAAAACATTGTCAATCAAGACGGCAATCGTGCAATGGTTACAATGTTTTCTATTATATTATTGTCATCATAACAGGTCACTACTTTGTTGATTATAACGCACATTTGTGAATACTGAATTTATATAATTAACGAACACAGAAAAATGTAGAATCCTATGCTTGTTTCATGCGTGCATACTGTATGTAATATATACTTTGTTATTCAAACAAAAGTTTGGTTTACAGTTCCACTCTCAGACAATGCAACTATCAACGGACACAGGTCACGTTTGTGAAGTCTCTTCGCCATTAATGAAGCATTCAGCTAATAATGGGCCAGTTCACATAACAACTACATAACTGTTCCTTTGTGTGCGATCCATTGTCGGTCATTCGTTGGCTATGCATCCTGCTTGCAGATATGATTACAGATCGACATATCAACAATCATATACTGTTATGTTTCTGTTTAGTCTATAAACACAGATTTTTTTTTTTGCATTTAAAATTGTGCTTTATATATATGTAATATATATAGTATATGTATGTACATCAGATTATCTCCTATTACATAGTAATATTTTGATGGATTATTTGTTTCATAAATTTGAAAACTAAGAAAGAAATTTAAAATCACAAAGAAAGAAAAAAATCTAAAAGTTTTTATATACCTATTTATAAAATAATCGTAATAACGATTATATAACTGCAAAAAATATGTTTAAAACCAAATTGTACATGAAAAACACTCAGTTATGAAATTAATTTATAAACTTCTTGTCACCTGCGGCTCTGTTCTTCGGGACTGTGAACGAAGTCCGGTGGTTCCTCGCCTCGCGATTTTAAGGGCTTTAACCGCTATATTAAAAAAATCTGGACATGGGTATGAAAACAAACAACACATTCATTTACAATACAGACACGAATCAACCGTGACCGGCTGATTAACCGAGGAGCCGCTTGTTCCACGGAACATTGTTAGAATATTCTGAGGAGTTAAAATCATAAGACATCTTGTGGTTTTCATAATATTAAGAGTGTTTTCTTTGTGACAAATAATTAAGAAAATTATCTTTCTAGTTAATAATACTTATTTTGTTATTACTTATTTGTTATAAATTGCCAATTTCAGGTCTTGCTGCCTACTTCATCTCAGTCTATTACATTTACGCCATACAGCTGGAACGTGAACAAATCAAGAATAATGAGACGCAAAATGCCACTGATATTACTTTTGTATACCCTACAAAAATACAAAAGTGTTAGTTGCATAGGTACTACATGTAATTTTTTGCACTATAAATAATATTCCTTCATTTTCAATGTCTTTATTCAGTGAGCCTCTCATATTGCAGAATTCAAATCATATTGTTTGAATTAGACGATTCTTCATTTCATGTAATTTTGGAGAATAGTTTTATCTCTGAAGTATTCAATTTCATTAAGCCAAACGTTATCAATTATTATATAAATCACTGCAAAATCTTTAATTTTATTAAACTAAATATCAACTGATCTGTGTTCTTACTGATGCTTCTGCCTCCTTGAGTAACAAACGATTTTAATATTATTTTAACCGTTATAAACTGGATAGAAAGAATAGCAAAGCTATCGTAGTAGTCGCTATACTTAAATCCGTGAGAAATTGCAGTAAGCAGTCAACGTTGCTACAAAGTTAGCATAGCCACAAAGTCGTTTGTCGCTATTGCTCATGAAGTTATAATTGGTTTCAACGTCACGATTAAATTCATTCAATAAGCACTACTAACAACTCGATGTGGACTTTGCGCTGACAGTTGTTGCATATGCTTGTTCAAATTGTAATGCTCTGTAAAATTAGGACATGCGTAAATAGCAACAGTATTCCACCAAAACTAATATTGGAATCGGGACTTATTACGGAAGTTAATGAAATCATTAACTTATTACCACTTTTTTTTAAATAAGTTATAAGCACTAGGCAAATTTTAATAAAGGATTCGGTACTGCAAGGCCTATTAAGCTTATTCAGAAATGAGGAATGTAGGTATGGGATAGGTTGACTTTGACTTTGTAAAACATGTTTAGGGCTGTGACCCTAAACATGTTTTACATCACATTTACAAGACAGATGCCAAAGTGTTAAAATATAAATACCATAACAAGCGCTGACTTACTATTACCAATAATAATATAGAGCGTTCATGTGTAGAAAAATATCTTGGGTTATGGTTAGATCATAAACTTTCTTGCAAAGCAGCATCAAAATTAACGTCAATATTATGAGCACTATATAAGTAGTAAATTGTATGAAGTATAACCTGATGTTTATAACTGGATAGTGAAATCTCATTTGAAATAATTATTAGAAATATGGGGAGCAGTGGCCATAACAAAGTACCAAAACATCGAAAATAAAGTTATGAAAATATCATTACCGAACAGTAACAAAAAAAATTTTTACGAAGATACTATAAAATTTAATCTACAGTAGTTGCATAAAACAATTTGATGCTAAACTATTGCATAAATAGACAATAAAGAATGAGGAAAAATTAAATATTATTTTTACTACGCCCGGTTTCTTAGCACTGATTATCGTAGAAATTAACTAATCAACTGTCAAATGGCTTTTCAAATTTAATTTGAGGTCTAATATTTACAAGATTAAATCTATCTAAAATTACATATTATATTTGAGGCGCCAAAATGAAAGTGTAATCGATCATTCTGATCGTTCTGATCAACTTTTACTTACTTAATCATCCTTTTGGCAACTCAAATATGACATTCAATCAAAAGAATCCATTTGAGAGCTGATTAATTTAAATATAATAAATTTTACTTTTGAGTCTCAACAGTGAAACTAAAATGTAACGTTCGGTTTATATTTACAAAAATATTATCATCAATCTTAAAACAAAGCTATGTATAGACTGTTAATAACGCAACAGAATTTCATCTACATCGACAATTGATGGATTAAGCTGCACTGCCAACAAATTCCAAAGTGACGAAAGCGGACATGATCCCTAATTTGTCACGGGAGACGTCTTGGACACTTTAATCTAATTGCTTTATGCTCGCGATCAATTCTAATTAACCTCGATGTGAAGCGTTTGAAACAGATGCATTTAATTAACCTAAACCAACAGTTACACACGGAATGTGCAATTTTTTGCAAGTAGTTTCATAAATTATAAAAAAAAATATCATCAGCTTGTTCGCTTATAGGTATTAAGTGATAGTGATTCCGAAGACGATTCAAATTCTGAGTTTCAACTAAAAAATTCGATCTTGTACTTCCTACCTACCTTACCGGTTACGCATCGCTGTCTCTGCCTTTGCTTACGTCTGACAATTACTGGGTGTCTAATATTGAGATATATTTTCTCTATACATGCTTGACCACAACATAACAACTGTGTTCCTTAACAGATAATATTTGTAATAGCAAATAACACATCACCCCTTGAAATGGATATAGTGTCGGAGTTGGACGTGAGAAGAAGGGCATTGTAGGTACTAAGTCGCGTACCTGATGAACACAGTGAGAGAGTCAAAGACGGCTGGGCTAATGATCCGTGTGAAAAAATACAATAATTATAAATTAGATAATCTTATTAATATATAAAAGTAGCGAGGAGCTGGGAATTAAATGGAATGTCTTAGCGACTAGTGTAACTTGTAAAATATCTATTTGCAGTTGCAATTTTACCTTCCCTCTAACTGTAATTTCAGAGATAATTTGATCACTCTGGTGACACTAATTAGCAATTTCAATCTCAAGACGTTCAGTCTCCTAGCTTGATGCCCATCCGAGCACTTAGTTCCAATTCGAGTAATTTACATTTTCAGCGTTACATTCAGCGAGAAATCTGCTTAAATCGTGCCAGTAACAATTTGAACGAGATGACTGTTTATAGGTATTCTGTTTTTCCATTCTTAGCAAAAGATTTATCGTCGTACATTGTATTTTAATAGAAATACCTACATATACTGTAATACTTTTTTTTATCGCCCCGAGAGAGTTCACTAAATTAGCGGGTAATTGTAGAAAATATGGCGACATCTCTTGAGGACAGTGCAATTTAGGTCAAGGAATTTAAAGAAAATCTATAATTCGTCTTGGGTTCATATTTTCTACGGTTAGATGGCGTTATGTTGTCCCCGTTTTTGCTTAGATTATCATTTAAATACGTGTACTTAAAATATTGTGATTTGATTGTCCTTAATATAAGAATAATTTTAATACTTAAAATTCATATGAAGTAAGTTTTTTATTCATAGTTATCAGTTAGAAACATTGTGTCCTATATAGCATAGTGTCATCTGACGTTCATCTACGAGAACGGCAGTCTGTTTGATATTGATTATTTCTTATTGAAGCTTCGAAGCGGCCGCCGTTAATGAAATAAGAAAAAATAATTTTATATTAATTCTCGAATATTACGAAACGGATTCTGTATAATTTATTTATCAGAACATCAAATCTTTTATACAGCGTGTCGTTACCATTGCGACAATAAATGAACACATGTCTAACGCTACTTGCCAATAATCCTAAAAAAATATTAACGTTAAACAAAATCCATAATTAAAAGAAAATATTTTTCAAACAAACTAATTAAGTAAAAAAGAAACAAAATTTGTAACATCCTATACAACTCGCGCCACAGCTTATATGCTTTGTGACCTTTACGTTACGCTTTTATGGTAAGGGTGTTCTAAAATTCTTTGTTTTGGATAATTTTGTAACTCTGTAAATATTAATGTTTAAAGAATTTAAATGTTTAATACAACTTTAAAAAGTTATCCCCTATATGTGTGTTCATTTATTGTCGCGATGGTAACGACACGCTGTATATTTCAAACCTATGAACCTATGAATCGAAGAATAAGATTGGGCATAACTAACCTATTTAAAAATTTGTAAACTTTTGGTTGTAGTGCGTATACCCATCACATATCAACTTTGAATAGAATGAAACGTTTTATACGGGCTATTAAGATCGCGGGAGTTGTCCACCGTTGTCTTGTATCACACGCAAAGACAAAATATTACGTAAGCTCACACTAAATTAGGCATCGGTGTTTGTGGCACGTGTATAGTTGTTTTGTATTTATGTTTGTACCTTAAAACTTTGTGCGCAAACATCAACATTGCAAATAAATTGTTGCCTAAGGGCATTGAAACTATGTGAGCACAGAAACAAACATCGTTTGGAATCATCTTGATACTTGAATTCAAATTTCTCTAGTTTGCAAAAGTTCTTAACGTGGATAGCTTTAATAGGTAGAAATATATAAAAAATAATACTATCATGTTTTAGAAAGGCTGTGAAGAAGAGTTGTGAGATTTACTTTGAACTTTTTAGAGAGGTGATCACAATACCGTAAATCTAGCTTGAAAATACTGGAAAAACAGTAAAAATGAGATCAAGTTGTTTGTAGCATTCAATAATTATTCCATTATCTTTTATGTTTTAAGAAAAAAACGTAGAGGAGAGATTTTCGCACTGTGGGGCCATCTGCGCCTTAGTCTCACACACAAAAAGCACAAATTCACTTCGGTTCTTCAGATTTTCTATTGACATAAATACGGTTCGTGTGTTTAAATTTGTTGTTTTTCTTGGATTTCGTATAGATTTCATAGGCTAGAAAAGCATAATCGGAATTTAATAAACGCACTCACCAGACCAAATACAAAAGTTTAATGCTTCTACTTCACGTTGATTTCCGGTGCAGAAGAGTCTGCTCATTCGTGCATCAACAGAAGATTTTTTTAATCTTTAGGGGATGGCGCCTTCTAATAGACATAATTCGTATGAATTTCACAAAATGCACATAAATATGCATTGAAAATTTTGCAATAAGAATCGTGACAATTTAAAGATAAACATCACAATAAAACTTATTCTTTAGAATAAATAATAGTAGCTCACGCATAAACTTTTTCGACATGCAAGTCGATCTGTTGTTATTTTTAAGAATAAAATTTTATTTTTATTTTTAAGAATAAATTTTTAATTAAAGTCATATTTACTCCAAATATTTGTTAATCGACGCCGAGTAGCGTCAATGTACGTACAAATATAGTAGCAGCTAGGCTTTTAATCTAAACTGTAGGTCACTGTTACGCCCCAGGTATCCACTATAAAAGTGATGCCTAAACTTTGGAACCTACAAGGCTTAACAACTTGCAATCTAAACTATGGAATATATAACTTTTCACCATAAGAAATCCATTTGAAGGAAGTCGTGCACAAAAGTTTATATAATATTGTATATGTATGCTGCGAGTCTGAAAAAAAGCGCAGGTGATTTAAGAACTTCATAACCCGCGCCCAGTTTAATTTTCTACGGCGTAATATTCCGAGATGACTAATTTCCCCTGACGCCCGCCACCAATTTCCCTGACTGATCCCACACAACCTTGTTATTTTTATTATCTGTATTTCATCTTGGAGCCGTCAGTGTCAGTTGTACGAAGGCACGTCAATTTATTCCTCAACCGATTTTGTTTTGTTACTATTGGTGTTGTAAACAGTTTGAAATGTTAAGTTAATCGATATTTTATTTACAAAAAAAAAATAAACATAATAATTACAAAATTAAATCTATCTAAAATTACATATTATCTAATACACCTAATCCACGCGGCATGGTGCCAAGAACGCTAGTTGCATTTGAGCGAGAAAAAAACCAGCTCTCTTGTCACCAGCCGCGGCGTTAAGCCTAGGAAATAAACTTTAAAAAATTTTGAAGTGCGTGGACCCCACGGACCTAAAGTTACAACAACAAATGGCACAAATACAATTCTAAACGTAAAGACTCATATTTTCGCCATTTACTTACTCCATCTGCCTCCGGTGCCGCCCCGGCCCTGACCGTAGTACCCCTTAGATTATAGGCAGCCAAAGTGTCTACACAAGTAGCGTCGCAAACAAGGGCTTTGCCTCTCTCCCAATGGATCAAAGTTAAACCATCGGGTCTCTTATTATGGTCGCGAAAAATGCCACAGGGCTCTAAAATAGATGGAACCAAGAGCCCTACGGATGATGAACGACATCGGGGAAGCAGCGGCCAGCACTTTTAATTAAAATAATGAGAATAATGCTGCATACATCATCTTAATTAATTTAACATTTCAAAATTCAAAAGTAAGGCATCGTCGCCTCTTCCACTAAGGTGAGGCACGCGGTATGTCGGTATTCTAATATACAATCTAAAACCGGCACCCATCGACAACGGCGTTCAGCAAACCAAACCGAAGCGATAAAAGAATTTCTGACTCCTTCGATGTCAATTCTCTAAGAGGGCATTTCCTTATTGAACGGCCATTGATATGGATACAAAACAACAACAACAAACTATTGCTTAATAGAGAAAGAACCTCGAGAATTCTGGTAAAGATGGCGTAAGGAATTTATAGCTGAACAACACTCTAAAATACTCTAAATGGAAAATTAATGAGATTAATCCAAAGATTGGAGATACGTTTATAACTAAGGAAGATATCTACCTCCTCAATGTAACTTGGGACTTGGGCGTATCACGTGTTTGCATACGGGTTCAGATCATATCTGCAGAGCAGAGCTGTGAGAGTCCTTAACGTTATCAGATCGCCAAATGTAGAAGAACTTGTTGAAAGTTAGCGCTTTTAAGGGGCGGAGGCGCTCGGACATCGAGTATCAGCTGAGGAGGGGTAAGTTAAAGAGAGGTATGGTTGTGAGGTGACAAGCAGACAGCTGGCTTCCCGTCACACACTGACCGGTCCACGCGATGCAATGCTGCGTCGCTGGCTACTTCGTTAATAATTTAATGTTACTGTTTGTCACCTCTATTAAATATTATTTTATATGTTTAATTATGTACCATCTAAATCGTTGTAATTATTTCTATTGTGACTTTCATTTCAAAATCATCATGTCCAATAACGAGCTGAACCCCGACCCCTCGTTATATACATAAAAGTCGATTGTTTTCATTGCATCGTAAACAGGCAAAAAAAATTATGTTACCAGATGCATACACATATTTGTAAACAGCGACTCCATTCGCTTTTGGGCCCATGAATGCTTTTCGGATAATATAAAATGTATGCAATATAAAATTTAAAAATCAAAATAAGGAAATGTCAAACTGATACTACTAACTTTGACCGTTACAGACCAGAACACTAAACAGTTACACGAATCTTCGGAGGGGGAATTCCAAAAGCGAAGTTAGTGTTTTTTGCCTGCTTTAGCCGGCTTACGTCATCGCCCGTCTGTCGAGTTTTACACCGGTCCGAGATAGGATGTATGCACATTTACCCACTACACTCGCAACACTTGCGCCGTGAGCGCGTCGCAGCCTGGAACCGTTCTCGAAACGTTTTACATTCGTGGTACCAGGGGGATTTTCACGATGACGCTTTATCACAAGTTAGTTGGTGTTTTGTATATTCTACAACAGATGAGCTAGAAATTCACATTGGCGCGACTATTTACGGGCCTCGTAACTGCGCGATTGTTATAAAAAGTTCTTATATTCAAGTTACAATGGCGGTTTGATTTGGCTCCAGTAAAGGTGTCTATTTCAATACTTAAATATTTTTCCTGTTAGCTAACTTCAGATTTTTTTTAATTTAAGCAGCACTATCTAAACTATTTAACAATAACACAGTATCAAATCTAAAACGTAAAATAAAACTTTTTTTTATGCTAATTAATCTTTCGGTACTATTTTATGTGTGTCATGTGTGAAAGAATAATGGTGTTGTATCTCGGAACAATGTTGTTGGTTAGATCCAAAGGCTGACTTTCTATTTTCTAATTTCTTCTTTTAATCTGAAATTACTTATCAGGTATGGAGCTTAAATAAAAAAGTGAATTTAAGTTTTTTTTTAATGTGAAAAGTTGCCAAGCGAGCAGGCGATTCACCTGATGTTAAGTAAATACCGCCGCCCATGGACCTACCCTCGGGTTAAGCAGATACGTTGACAACCTTTTAAAAATTGGGCTCCGGCTACCTCACTCACCAGAAGAAACGCGAAAGTATTATACTTCCACTGCACGCTGGCCTTCTGTGAGGTCGTGGTACTTACCCGGAGGAGCCTGCCCATTCGTGCAACAGCCGAGGCTGCTACGTGGCCCTACCACTCTGCAATTTGCTTCCAAAATGAAAGTTGCCCCTACGAATGTCCATTAAGACCAAATAATATAAATTATATACGTATTAAATTGTTTTTATTTTATCATATTTCAAATCGTTATTCATATTGTTATGATGCCAGATGGTGTATGGCTGGATAAAATTGATACATAGTAGACGATATCGTGGGGCATGGTCAAGCTGACTCTTACTCTCGCTGACTTTAGGCTTATCGTGGGGCATGGTCAAGCTGACTCTTACTTAAATAGGATGAAATGATGATGATTTATTCTAATTTAAAATAATTTTTAACTTTTCTTATGAGAACTAAAATATTATTACTATTGTATAAAATGCAATTTAGCAGGCAAGACACATTTTAATACCAAAATCTACACATTACAATCTTTGCGTGGAATACAATGTAATACATGTGCAGTTTTGGTCGTCTGTAAGTGTTACGTTACACAAACTACATTCTAACGATGTACATTCTTAGCAACGAGTAGACGACGAAATTAATATATCAAAAATAGTGCAAAATCTATATCTTCTTCTATTATATAAAGAGGAAAGATTTGATTGTTTGTATGTATCGAATAGGCTCCGAAACAACTTAACCGATTTGAAAAATTCTTTCACTGTTGAGAAGCTACATTATCCCTGCTTGACATAGGCTATATAATATTTTCAAAAAATTAGGGATCCTTACTAAAACTCGCTGCGAAAACTATTGATGATAGAATAAAATAATGTACTACGAATTTTTAGAACACAAAATTATTTACAAAAAGTGTCGCCACAGCATATGTCTAACTATTATAGTTATGCCACAATAAGTGTTCTTTAATTTTAAACTCCAATAATGTTACTCAAGGTGTACAAAAATTACCTAGAATATTCTTTACATCGCGTGCGCTGCGAAAACTATTGATGATAGAATAAAATAATGTACTACGAATTTTTAGAACACAAAATTATTTACAAAAAGTGTCGCGACAGCATATGTCTAACTATTATAGTTATGCCACAATAAGTGTTCTTTAATTTTAAAATTTTGATTTAAATGCAGCCGCTAGAAAAGGCTCTTTATTTGTATCTTGGTATTAATCCTGATAAAAATAAATTACTTCATATTTAATACTGTTTCAATTTCTTTATATAACTTTTTGAATTATTAAATTCGGACATTCCATTCGAAGGATATCACAAGTTTAAAAATGTTAGTGTATGTAATTTAACTATCCAAACAGCTTAGTGACTGACTTAGAAGTCCTTATAATTTCTCAATCAGTTAGCAAATAATTAAGTACAAAGGCAGTTTAATTTTTTTTATCATTTTAAAATGCCCAAAATATCAAGATCTCATCTTTCTAGAAATAGTTCCCAGGCGAGGGCATCAAAAATACGTCGTAATGAGGAATCTTTACCGGAAAGTGTAAATCGTGTTACAAGTCAAGTCAAGGAGAGAGTCAAGTAGCGCGGCTTGAAGAGCAATATAGTAATCGTGTGCGAGTCTGACTCGCACTTGGCTGGTTTTTATTCAACACATTGTCGATATGATGGCAAAAAGATATCATAAAGATTGAATTACATATGATGTCCAGGGACTGAGGGCTGGAGAAACATTCATCTTAGAGACGCTTTAAATCAAGACATTGGCTCATCAAATATCGGTCAACAAAAAAACCAAAGATGCGATGATTTATGTCCGAAGCTATGGGAGACCAGACTTATTTGTCACTTTTACCTGCAACCCCGAATGTCCCGTAATTATAGCGGAACCATTATCTGGTCAGCGGTCTTTCGATCTTCATGACGTAATTTCAAGGGTATTGAAATTACGTCATGAAGATCGATCGACCGCCAATATCATTAAAAGATGAAGAAATTCATAAAATTATTCACCAAAGACAAAATATTCGGAATATTTTATGTGTATGATAATTTTTAGTTTTAAAAATTTTGTTAAATACCCGTGCGTAGCCGGGGCGGCCCGCTGCTAATGTATCAAGAGTAAAGTTTTATATGTTTATATTAAGTTTATATTTTTATTTTCATTAAGTTGTTACATCCCTACTTATCACTACATAGTATAAAATAAAGTCGTCCCGCTGTCTGTCTGTCCCTATGTATGCTTAGATCTTTAAAACAACGCATCGGATCTTGATGCGGTTTTTTTTACTAGATAGAGTGATTCAAGAGAAAGGATTATATGTATAATGCGATATAGATATAGCCGATTGTGGTTATCTATTGCCGCTTAGGTTCAACTCTAGAATTTATTCCCTCTTAATGCCATGTATCCTGCATTCTCAAGATTTTACAATATACTTCACAGTTAAGCACATGGACAGTCAAATTAAGACAATAAATTAAACTGGAGGCGCCCCCGGGATTTCTGTGTGCCGATGGAGAAATATTTATTTGCGCCCGTTTCTAAATTACGCTTTTTTTAATGTTAGGTTAAAAATTATATCCTTGTTCCAGCGCATCTACTAAGTCTAAATCCGACTTGGAGTCTGCAAAATGCTGCTCCTGCATCCCACAAAAGATCGGATGCTTCATCCTGGCCTATCTTAATCTGGTACGTCTTTAAACTTTACGTGCTGAAATATATAATGGTAAAGGAATTTGTGTTGATGAATGTAAAGTAACCAGAGTATACATTTCCAGTAAAGACCTCCATATCCTCTATACAGAGGGTATCAGGGCATAGTCCATCACGTGGCCCCACTGCGGATTGGCGTACTTCATATATCTTCGAAAACTTTTTTTGGTATTATTTCAAAAATAAGCAGTTAATTTAATTAAATTGCAAAAATATGCGCATAACGTTTTCCTTCAACGCGGAGCACGTGATAAGTCAGTACTTAAAATTAATAATTACGTTCGGCAATGGGAATCGAACTCAGATTGCTCGAGTATATTGAATTAAAGGTGAGCGCCCGGACATTGAGCTATCGCGGCTCTAATGTGCGTTTATTTATTTAATATTTATGGCAAATCTTAATTATAACATGTGACAATGAGCAATTTATATACTTATCAGTCCGTAGGCTAATCAAAGCTTCATTAAAAAGAGCTCTTGGAAAGATTATATTTCCACGAACTTGATAGACCCTATCTTACCTGATATTTAAAATCGTTTTTTAAACCATGTAATGTTTACAGAAAGTAAAAATTTACCCTATTTACAATTCTGGTGGAGGATACAAAAGAGTCTTTAAGGATATGATCCTTGTGTAAAAATAATTACGTTATTACTTTCTTTAAATAAATATGTTCCTTTTAGTTTAAGCAAAAATATTGATAATATTTAAAATATCCGTACTCCGTTAATATTAAATAATTTATATAAGTGGTAGCCAATTTTTATTGCATTTGAGTAACCTACCGTTTTTCAACAGGTGTTATTAAAAACTTAAGTGTTAATTGTATTAATCTTTTTGAAATATATGCATTTCTTTTAATATTAATTGAATAAGCTTGTAGGGGTTTGATGTTATTAAGGATTGATGATTTTAGGGGCATTTGTATCAGCAAAGAGTGTCAAAATTAAGTGTTATTAAAATGAAATTAAATTAAGCGAAGTCAAATAAGTTAAATAAATAAATGTTGTACCGCTTCAAAATCAAATTGTATAATTATACCATAGCACGAGTAAACACGTAGACAACATCTTAATCTGACAGATTGTGTGTAATGTAAACCAAAACGGTTTCTGCATGAATGAATAAATAAATGGTTATTTGTTACGTAGTCGGATAAATGGTATGGCCAATATTTGACATAAATTTTGGTTTCCAATGTTCGCAGATCTTCATTTTAATCCACACCCTCACCTTTTCGTTGGGTTGTTATTACCACTTTGGTTTGGGGATGCGTTTAGCAAGTGAAGACGAAGCAACAAAGATCGAATCAATCAAGAGACCTCTGCTGACACACCTAGAAGTGTTACTAATAGCAATTCTGTGTGTAAACATTGTTTGGTTGACGACAAGCGTGATGTGCTTGGTTGGTTTACACAAGGTGAGTATGAAGTCGATGTTAGAGATTGAAAAAAAAAAACATCATTTTACTGCGGTAACCCACGTTTGAGGTGAACGTAAAAACGAATAGTTTCAATAGTAAAAATTTTGCAGTATAAAATGGCGTTAAATCTACCATTAAATTGAGTATTGTATTTACTTATTACGAACTATCTCTATTCTGAATGGCACGAGACTCCATTCACCATCTTGGGGTGTAAAAAACACGTAGTCTAAAAGTTTTACATAATATGTGACATAGATGCGCTTTATTAATATTTAAAAAGTTATTCTATTGGTAACTGAGTTTCTACTGAACGACTTGTCTGGCTGAGTTTGTATTGACATCATATCATAAAAAGATTAATGGATACGATAGAATAAAATTTTGTTAGACAGCCGGAAGCGACATAATAAAGTCTGGTATACAGCTAGAAATTGTTTGTTAATAAATGTCATGTTTGGTAATGCTTTTGAAGAGAACTAAGTGTGCTAGGGCCACGCAACAGCTTCGGCTGTTGCACGAATGGGCAGGTCTGTGCGGGTAAGTACCACAACCTTACAGAAGTTCGGCGTGAAGTGGAAGTGACATTATTAGGTCCTTACATATGAAATTAGCATTTTTTCATACTGACCACTTTGATCTGAAATATCTCCTCTTTGGTTAAGAATGCCAAATTCAAATTTATAAATTCATTTAGCTGGTACAGTACGAGTTCTACCGTGGCACCAGTGCTGCAGAAACAGCTCGAAGGATTAATTATGTGTACGGCGCAGGTGTCGCAAAAGAAAGCACGGTACGTTTTTGGTTTCAACGTTGTCGTTCTGGAAATTTCAACCTTCAGAACCAACCCTGTGGACGGCCGGAGACCAAAGTGGAAAATGAATAATTAAACGCTGTTGTGGAAGCGGATCCATCACAAAGCACTTCAGAGATAGCTGCAGGCTTCGGGGAAAGTGATAAAATGTATTAATCCGCTTGAAGCAAATCGGGAACGTAAAAAAACTTGAACAATGGGTACCTCATGAATTGAGTGAATCGAACTTGCAAACACGCGTCGACTGCTGTGTTACTTTGCTCAACCGACACAATAATGATGGGATTTTAAATCGAATCATTACTTGTGATTAATAATGGAATGTCTGCGACATCCACCGTACTCCCTGGACCTTGCTCCAACAGATTACCATTTTTTCCTGAATTTGGACAACTTCTTACAAGGAAAAAAATTCAAATCCGTTTATTGATTCTCGCCCCCCCCCCCCCCCCTTTTTTTTTTACTAAAGGAATAAATGAACTACCTATTAGATGGCAAAAGTGCACAGATAAAAACGGTGCATACTTTGATTAATTAAATATATTTTCCAAAAAAATTGACCATTCCACCCGTACAAAACGCCAATTTCATATGTAAGGAACTTATACTTCAGTGTTTCTTCTGGCGAGTGAAGTAGCCGGGCCCACTTTATTAAAAGATGGCAACGCATCTGCAACCCCTACGGGTTTTGCAAATGTCATAAAATGAATCAATGTCATGAAAATGCGATTATCATTTAACATCACGTGAAACAACAGCTCCCTTGCCAGAAAAAAAACATCAGTCAAGTCCCGAACAATACGAACTTAAAATCGTTTTTAACTGTTTACAGAAACGCCCAGGGCCCATCAAGGTGTACATCACTTTTGTAACAGCAAGACTAATTTTTATCTTCTCCTACCTCGTATTTGCAGGTTACGGTAACATGCAAACAATGGTATTCTACTGTTTAGAGATAGGTGAGTGATTAATACTAATATTATATCTTCGTATATTTGATACACATCAATGGATAATGATATTTTCTGTTAGTTTTTGGGGCTAAAAGAAGCGGTGACTTTGGTTTAGATTTCCATGCTTACGTTGAGTGGCGGATACGCACCCAATAAATAAAACGTTTTTGCGAGGTTGGGGGATTTAAGTTAAAGGTCGACATTGTAATCTTCTTCGCAACTACGACTCTAAAGGAGGCGGTTCTCAATTCTACGGTATTTTTATGTTTGTTACCTCAGAACTTCCGACCGATTTTGATGATTCTTTTTTTATTTGAATGCTGGTGCTTGCCATTTCCCATATACCTAGACAACCCGTCATATTACAATACACATCGACATATTTGAATTTTAGAAATATTTTAACTGTTGATTTAGTCTCCCCACTTCCACTTGACATCTTCTAACTGTCAGTTTGCTTTTTTCACTGCCTCCTCTCATTTTTTTCTCTCCTATTCACCTTCACCTTCTTCCTTTCACTATGAGACTTTTAACTCAACTGCCATTTCGTGCGCTGGCTGTCCTTTTTTTTAATCCACGTAGAATGTTCTTCTTTCTTCTTCTTTCTTTATTTATGGCTTTTCTTTAAAGAATTGTAGAATCTTATGGAATAGGCAGGTTTTTCTAAGATAACAACTTTGAACAAGAATAATAACATCTTTCAAAACTATCAATCAAACAACCGTAACAACATAATTTCTATGAAACTAATTATAATCAATTGGTTTACCATATACACATATGAAACAAGTATATTATTCCATCTCCTGTCATAGTTCTGTCATAGATTCACTGAAGATTTTTAAACAAGCATAAGTGTCAAAAAATGGTACTCAAGAAACGTATACCATCATTTAATGTGACGTTAAGATTTTAAGAAGATTTTGACTTTGTTATGGGTTAAAGCCATAAAACCGTCTTGAGCTTTATGAAAATATTGTCATAGTTGTTGTTGTGTATTGTTTGGTTCTACTTTTTGGCCCCACCACAGGTAAAATTATATTCTTATTAATAATTCGATATTTTTTTTCAGGTCTCACCATCTACTTCGTCGTAGTCTATTACATTTACGCCATGCAGCTGAAACGTGAAGAAATCAACAATAATAAGACACAAAAGACCAGCGAAACAACTTTTGTCTACCCTGAAAAGATTGAAAAGGAGAGATATTAGTTGCATTAGTTAATAAATTGTTTCTTTTTTACATGTAACATTTTGAATAAATTTCCTTTATTGAGATATAAATATTACCTTCATTAAGTGAACTTCTAATTGTGTAGATTTCTAACAATATTATTTAACTATTAATTTAATGGAATGTTATAAAATATAAGATTTATAATACAACATTGAAGGACACGAACACAAATAGAGATTTGGCTCTCCAGATTCCCCGGGAAATGCCCAGCCCTTGACTGATATAAATTAAGATACCTTTTGAGTTCATTTTTTAAATTCGTTTTGAGATCATAAAAAACTACTGATATGTATTCTTGACGATGTTTCTGTCTCCACGCATATCTTTTAGTTACTCTTTGCATTTAAGCAATGTGTATTACCTAATAAATGGTATGAACTTGATAGAAGTTATAGCATAAGCTTCAGTATTTCCCATAGTACGTTACTACTAGGTAAGTTTGAACTTAAATTTGCTGCAGCGCCATAGAGTTCACGTCTACGCGTTTGCAACACCCATTGCAGATGTGTTGCCACCTTTTAATAATGTGGGCCCCGGCTACCTCACTCACCAGAAGAAACGCAGAAGTGTAACACTTCTACTTTACGCCGGTCTTCTGTGAGGTCGTGGTACTAACCCAGACGGTTGTTTCGTATATTGTAACAAAATGTCCTCCCTATATGCATTATACATCACAGAAGTTACAGGTTTTTTACCTAAAAACTTCCTTAGAATACTCTAGTACAAACTATATTAATTCATTTTAATTTATTTATTTATTTGTTTGAATATGGTATAAAAGATGTTCGGCAATCGTATTATATAGTTCCATCATATTCAACCATTTCTGGTATTCAAATGATTAGATATACAATCATTAAGTTTACATTCTATACTTATCTTTAGTATTATTTTATTATTATTTTATTTATTTTTAGTAAAAAGTGTGTAACAATTTTACTTCATACAAGATAATAGAAATATATGTATACAATATCCTCCTTATTACCTACATCTTTGAAACCATGTTAAAATTGAATTATTTGTGGATCAAGTTCATTAAATTAGATACACTCAGACTAAATTTGTTATTGTTTAAAACTGTATTCTAAATATTCTTGCATTGATCAAAAGCATGTGTTTTTTTGCCACCCATAAAATCTCTTTTCAAAGATTGGAAATGATAAGTTTATAATTTCCCTTGGCAATTTATTGTACACTTTGATAGCGAATTATAGAAATTATTCTTTCTTCGAATCGGCATATCGTACATTGCAATTTCATTGTACTAAACAAAAAGATACCACCTATTTTTTACAAAGTCTTAATTCATATACAGGGTGATTTTTAATAGAACAGAAATTTTCTAGTTAATGAATAACCAGAAAAATACCAATTCAAACCTTGTTTGTTTATCCTGTTAAGACTGGTCAACCTATTGATAAGCGGATTAATAATTATGCGTTTAGCGAATATGTATAGTTAATAATTATGTCCGTCGTCTATAAAATCACTCTGTATTTACATACCATTTAGAGTTAATATACCCAGTTTAGGAAATAGCGTTGTACAGCTTGCTAATGACCCAACAATACAAATTGCACGTACACATTTTTTCTGCGCTAAAAATACATTACTTATTTTTACATTTCCCCGAATTTTTAATTCCCCAATTTTATTATTTGTTATGCACGTAAGAAGTTATACTCATTTTGCGAAATAAAAGAAAGATAGCTAAAAATTTTATCCTCTATGCCTGTACTCTTTATTGTGAAAAAGACATTAATTGCAATTGATAACGGTTTAATTAAATAACTTATAATGATAGGTAAATGTCTAAAAGTTGTTATTGGTTGCCATGGTAATGGTCGGTCTGAAACCGACTTCATCATGTCGCTTATTGGCGCTTTTTTTGGCTATAGGTGTGTGCGTGCAACATAATTATTTTTCCAAACGCACCAAATGAACTCCATAACATACATAACTTATATATAACTCAAAAAATGGTAAAGTTGAATAGTAAGAGAAAATGGTTATTTATGCGTTCATTTAGCCTCATGTCAACAATAGTTTAAAATAAAATAAAATAAATTGGTATCGGTATGAAAGAATAACTAATTTGATTATGGAACATTTAGTATGTGGATGCCGATGGCGTGGCTAAGGCGTGGCATTTAAATGAAAAAATATTTCTTTGTATTGTGTGTAACGAATCCTTACTGAAACGATTACTTAAAGATCGCAGTATTCACTTTAACGAAGTGAGTGTGCGAACCACGCAATCTAGTGCATTGTAATATATATTGATGGTTAAAGCAGGAGTGGTTTGACGCTATTACTCGTCATACATTATGACAATGGATTAGCGAGATAACTTATATACTATAATAAATTAAAACAGAGGGATATCACTTCAAAGACCAGAACAATTAATAGATTTAAATAAATAAAATAAAAAAAAAATATCATTTACCAAGATATTTGTGTGTAAAATTTAAGTTAGGATATTTAAAAAAAAATTATATTGCTAATTTCTGCATTTAAGATTGAACATTAAAATTTTGTGGAAAAATTACGAAAAGATTGTCGCCGTTGTTTGTACGGTGGAAAGGATATAACAATAGATGCGCCAAGCATTGCTTCAAATGCTAAAAACAAAGTGGAGTCGTTAAGTTTTTCGTCGGTGTCGCAATCAGACGTTTAGCTTAGTGGCTAAAGCGTCAGGCTGCAAATGCCGAAGACGTGGGTTCGATTCCCCAGCGGCGACAATCTTTTCGTAATTTTGCTACAAAATTTTAAGATATTTTGTAATTGTACTTATAAAAAATAATTTTAGATTAACTCTCGAAAAAAAACAGTTTATTTTATTACTAAATAAACTCGTTTTGCTTCCTTTTTTGCGTGTTTGCTTTGCCTAACTATTGTGACATTTAGTTTAAAAGTGGTATAAGGTATTCTGTATGTTTGTTTATTAATATACAAAAGTCTCTATATATTCCAAAACTATATCCTAGAATTAGATCGAATGTAGTTTAACAATTTCAAAGATTAATATCTTTATTTTAACTTTTGGTCATACTGCATATACTCAACATTGAATAGGATAAAAAGTTTTGTAACGGTCTCAATATCGCGTAAGGCTTCTCTAAAATACAGTATCATTCGCAAAGGTCAAATATTATGTAAGCTCTCAGTATATTGGGCATCGGTGTTAGTGGCACGTCTAAAGTTGTCTTTTATTTATGTTTGGACCGAAAAACTTTGTGTGCAAACTCAAACATTGTAGATAAATTGTTGCCTAGGGGCATCGCGTAAGCACAGAAACAAACAGTTTGCCATCATTTTAAAACAACAACCCTTTTTAATGTAGCCATTTTAAAAGTTTTTGAGTTGCATTGATTTAACATGCATGTGATATATTACAATTGCGCATCTTAGAAAAGTGTATAAGAGATCCACTTTGAACTGTTTAGACAGACTGATCATGTCGTCCTATATTAAAGAAAAATTGGAACAAGTAATTTGTTACGTTGATTATTAAATTAATTAATTACTAAAATTTGAATAGCAAAGGCGACATATTTCGATACAAATATGTTATTTGTGTACTTGGCAAAATGTTATTTATAAGATGTTTCATACTGTAAGATGGCTAAAACGCTATAGGGTAAATAGATTCGAGATTTTCACACTGTGAGGCCGCTTTGCTTAGCTGGGCGGAGACGCAGTTAGGGATCCCGCACTGGCGAAAACATTTGCAAATTTAACTAAAACAATTAAAATAACAAAAAAATAATGCATTTCACATTTCTCTGTTATAATTAAAAATATGAAACTTGAAAATCCAAAAAAATAATAATAAATTCAGTAAATACTAGTAAATTAAATAACATAATTTAAGTACATCACTTGACTCGAGAAATACGTTATATATATAATAACGAAAAACTATGAAACCTGAAAACGCGGATGTTTATGACACTCGACCGAATTTTTATTATTTTTAAATATCTATTCCACATTTGTCCATCTTGCCAAGGCCATTGTTTGCAACTCCCGTATTTTCCACCGATTTCTCGCATAAAATCTGGCCATTGATTCCATTTTCTTCACATAATATTTATTTAAATTTAGTACACATTTGTACAGAACATTTTCTAGTCCCAAACTAAGCAAAGCTTGTACTATGGGTACTAGAAAACTGATAAACATACTTAAACATACTTTTCTTTTGTAAATAAATACATATTATACATATGTAAACACCCAGACACTAGAAAAACACCATGTTCATCACACAATATTTTTCCAGTAGTGGGGATCGAACCCACACCCTCTGGCGCAGGAGGCAGGTACACTACCCACTACGCCATTCGGGTCGTCATAATGGTCGTGATTTGAAGAGGAAATTTATTTTAAGCTTATATCAGTTTTAGGTCTAACCTGGCATATTTTAGTATCGGATTCAATTCCATGAAATATCGTTTACTATTTTACTGTGATTGCTTAATGGTAGTTTTGACTTCTGTACTTTATACCCATACTGCGGAGTATAAACCAACTGAATTATGTTGCGGGCAGCTTACTTGTACCACCACTAAAGCGCCAAACTTAAATATAACTTTGGTTAAAACAAATATTTCCTTTCCACCTTTCTCAAGATAAGAGAAATGAAAGTGAATTACTTTGGGTTAAGGGCGAGGTATCTTCATAAATCAGCCCATCTTTACTCGATCCAAGACGTATTACTGCGTCCCGTGACGCTGAATCGGTTTATAGTCATTTTCCTTCCGGGTCTTAAGGTTTTCCCGTGCCTTTTTTTCTTTTTTTTAGATAGTAACTTTGATAGACTCAAATAAAATTGCCAAGCTTAAACATTTGGAAAAACAAATGCTGTTAACTAAAGGACCCACTAGAATAGACGATAGGTTAATGTTAACGGAAAGCAACTAATTATTTATTGTTAATAAATAATAAACACCAAAAATCTATT